TTCTGCTGTAATATTTACTCTTTAGACAATACCATCACAAAAAGAAACCATACAGACACAGCTGGGTCCCAAATAACCATATTCTCCAAATATATTCAAACATGCTACATACTATTTGTTCTGACTGGTTTGAGGACTTTTAAAACATAGGAAACAGTGAGCACCATTAGAGGATTCCAACTATTTAAAGGGGTTATACATTTGTACTGTGTGCCACAGATGTCATAGTTCTAGATAGACACTAGGGATGTTAAGAGGCGGATAGTTAATTGAGAAGTCGATAGAATTTTTATCAACTACTCGATTAGTCGATCGCCAGCCCAGCTCAGTCCCGGCTTGTGCTGGGTGTGGAACCAAACCCTGCTGCAGCTCTGCAATTTAAAACACAGTAGGAGCCAAGGGTAAGATGCCTGGATCAGTCCAGGTCCAAGACCAAACCCCCCTGCAGCTCTGCAATTTAAAATGCATTAGGAGTTGGGGTGGAGGGGTAGGCTGCCTGGCTCCTACTGCCTTTTAAATTGCAGAGCGACAGCAGGGTTTGGTTCTGCACCTGGCACAAGCCAGGACTGAGCTGGACTGCCAGCCCAGCCAGCAGCAGCCCCTCTGCATGGGGGGTCCTAGCAGGAAGTTGGGATGTCCTGTGGATAGGAGCTGCTGCTGCAAAGCAGCCTCTGCACCACCCCCATCCCCCCTCTACTGCCTCTGATAGAAGCAACAGCAGGTGAGTGGGGGACAGTGCTGGGGGGAACCGGCTTGTAAGCCAGCTCCTCCCAGCACCAGCTCTTTCCATCCCCTCTCCGCTGCCTCTGATACAGAGGCAGCAAGGCGGTGGGGGATGCGAGTAGTCAACTCGACTACCCAATAAGCCTAGGCTTATCAGGAAGTTAACTAATTGACTACTCCCCTTACGTCCCTTATAGGTACAAATCGGGAAGAAAAAAACCCTCCTTCCTTTTATGTATGACAACAGCATCAGACTTTTACACTACCCTGCTATTCTCAAGAGCTAGGGGATTTCTGATAGACTTACACTAAGGAGCAAAGTCTCACAAGTGAGAACCCTATGCAGAAAGTGTCTTTAGAAAAGGGATTTATTTTAGAGATTCTAAAATACATCCTTGGTAAAAATCCAGTTATCCACATTTACAGTTTGACAAATCCTATGAGTCATTATTATCTCATTCACTGACTTTTCATTGTTTTAAAACAAAGCCATGTCATCTTGCTCCATTTTCATGCTTTGTCACGGAACTCAAGAACAACTCATAGGAGAATCTTTCGGAGGACTCCAGAATGGAAGTATACAATAATAAGAGTATTTTTTTGCAGCAGACATCTTCAAACTGTCCAGAACGTGAATAATCATGGCCATCCAACATATCAAAGCTTCTTCTGAGCCAATGAGTTTACAGCGACCCAGCCAGCCCTTATTTTATTAGCTGAAACCTATCACATTTAAAATAGCTAAAATTGATTAAGTTGCAGAAGGCAACTTACCAGAGTCAAACCTTATGATTTACATGGATATAGAAAAAACACAACAACCTGGTTAAATTATGAATCCCAACAGAATAGATCTGACAAAGCCAGTTATAGATGAACGATTTCTTGACTACCAAAGGAACTAAGTAGCATTAACTTGATAATCATCGTGTACTCACCTGACTCTTGCAAGTATCTATATACCAGGAAGTTAACCTCATCACTGCTTATACTCATCTTTATTCCCACTTAAACCATGAGGTCACGACAAAGGATATAACCCTAAAAATAAAGCAAAGAACTGTAAGTCAGATAATCATTTTTAAACTCATGTCTGTTTTGACATACAATTTGTTGAGAAACAAGACACTTCTTCAGAATGTTGGAAATGCTAATTTTATTTCACCATTTCCACCATTAGAATGTGCAAATTTCCACCTTCAAAATGTCATTTATCTCACCTCATTGTAAAAGATCACTCTTAAAAATCAAGCCAAATCTACAATTGATATAAACTGGCATAATTTGATGGCACAGTGTCAATTAACAGGAGCCAAAAGATTGGCCTCATTAAAAAAACATAGGTAATGCAAATCACATTATTAAACTAGACTTTATCTATCATTATTTGAACTTCTTTCCACTTCGACAATGAAAATAGAAACTTGCTTTAACATTTGTTTCTAATCAATTTCATTCTCAGGTTCTCAAACCACAGAACAACGCTGTATTGTATAGGCTGCAGAGATATATTTATTTAGGAAAACACGTATTTCCATTACAATAAAGAGAATATAAATATGGGGCCAATTTTGACCTAACAGCATTCCTTTTAATAAAGTCTTTATCTCCTTTTATTCAGCACTTGAATACATATTTCATTTTTTTATTTGACATCTGCACAGTAAAAATGATTCTTGGTAGCATTTAGAAACAAAAGGAATCTCCAACTATGTAGTTTCTGACAGAAATTTCAGCAATATTTTGCTGGATGTGTATATAAGCATTTAATCCAATCAACTATGAGAAATAATTTCTTAATATTATAACATATTTAATACACTAGCCTTAGCCTATGAAGACCTAGATTAAATTGCTATTTTAGGTGACAGTAAAAATGTCTCATCTTAGATTCTCAGTACGGATTGAACCTCTCTAATCTGGCACTCTCTGGTCTAGCAACATCCATGGTCCAGCATGATTTTGCTTAGCCAGATGTCTCATTATCATGGGTGTGGCCGCATTTCCCATGAGATGTCTCATTATCATGGGTGTGGCCACATTTCCCATGGTCCCATACAATTTGTTTACAGGCACCAGTCCTGGCTCTCACTGTTCTGTGCTGTTAATTACCTCTAATTTACACCTAAATGTTTTCTAAGAGCCTAATAAGCAATGAAGGTGTTGGTAATGCTGCTAGAAAATATTGACCTCCCATGGTCCTGCAAATTCTCTGGTTCAGCACCGGTCAGGTCCCATGGATGCTGAACTAGAGAGGTCCAACTGTAATAATCAAACTACGACACAGGTTGGTATGACAAAGAACTGTGATAGCAAAAGTGTAGCAAGTCAAAATGTTTATAAAGCTGAGAAAACTCTTCTCAAGGCCTGGCCAAATTTTAGGTTCCCCTAAGTTATCCTAGTCCCAAACTTTAAGTCTTAAATTCATACTAGAAGGAGAGTGACAATATGGAGGAATAGCACAAGTCTTATAGAAGGTTAAACTGTACACGCTATGTTATTCCTTTCTACTATGAAACCAAAACCGTTAGCCCCCGTTACGATGCAGAATCTACCAGACTCAAGCTTGCTAATAGCTCTGCTCTTCCTCTCTGTCCCCAGGTATGGTGCAAGTGTAAACATTCAGCTCAATAAATTAAGAGACAGTGAAAAAAGTAAAAAATTAAAACATGAGACCACCCGTCTCCATGATTTTGCAACAAGAGCTCATCTTTTTCTTATTATCCTGGTGCCACAAACATAAAAGGGAAGAGTAGAGAATAGGCCTTCTTGGATTGTCCATAATGAATACCACTACACAAAACAGGAATAAAATCTGTTGGCTTCCTCATTTAGCTCCTGCTGTAACTTGCATGATGACTGTATGGTCATTTGATGCTAAGGGTCAAGGAGGGAGAACTAAAAGGCAGCATTAGTGATAAAAAAATAAGTCAACAGAAAACAAGAACAAAACATAAGAAATGTGTAAGATCAGGGTCACTAGACAGCTGTAATTTAAAAGCCTTTATAGTCTTCTAAAATTTTCTTTTTTGTTAAAGTGAGAAAGAGGTCAAATTGCAATTTCTATGCTACCTGAATCTTATCTTTTTCCTCTGAAGGCATAACAATGCTTACAACTGCTAGTTAAAAGGTCCCAAGGTCCAGATTTTAAAAGTATGTTGATAACACTTTTCTTAGAAATAATACATGACATGCTTAGGATAGTAACTTATTTTTAAGTCACAACATGCTGATAACAAAAAGAAAAAAGTGGGCAGTTTTTCTTGATAAACCCACAGACTAAAATAATATAGTTAATCACTTCTGGAGTTGATACATTTCTGAAGAGCTGTCCTGCTGCATACTTAGACATTTTGCTTTTGCAAAATACTAGAACGAATGTGCAAATTCTATAATTTCCATAATCATTTGGAATTTTAAAATTAGTTTAAATATAATTTTAAGGGTCATGTTGCAAAATGTAGAGAATATGTCCTTTTCAAATATGTTGTATGTATCAGCAACTCCGCCTAGTATAAAAAACATCATCAAATACTAGACCTATTTAGACAAGACTGTTCCGTTGTCAAACATTGTACATTACAGTATATTATTACATGAAAGCACTATCTAAAAAAAGAGGAGTTGCACAGAGAAGAAACAATACCCCTCTATAAAAAAAAAAACAGTTGAGTTTTAGGTGCCAATGTGGAAGCCTCCTTATATTGGCACACACCCTGCAGAAATTCATACCACCACCACTCACTTGGTACTCCTACTACTATTATGCATTTTTCAGATTTCAATTGCCTCATAAAAAAAAATAACAGATAATCAATATGGAGAAATCAGATGTGAATACAAATATTTAATATTTAGCAAATAAATAGCATTAGTACTACCGAGTAGCCTAGCTATTCAAAGCAGCGCTGCAAAACTGTGATACAAACATACCAGCCACCTGTTCTTTACCCTGATAATTGAACATAGGAAAAACTAATATTTTATTCATCTGTCAAAAGTGTTATTCACCTTAGGCAAGTAAGCTAGTAACATTCTGCAAAGCTGGTTCAAAGTGTACTCCTGCAAGATGTTCAGTGAAGTAAGAAGAAATAACTGGCATTTGTCCCACATGAAAACAGGTTTTAGATCTCATTGCCAAAAGGTGGTAGAGTGTAACACAAACTTTTGAAATACCGAACACTGCTTGAAAAATAAGGAAACATGTTAAATAAGCATCCAATCTGGCCAATGACGACATTAAAAGATTAGAGAGTTATTAGAGGGAAAAGACTGCATACATTTTCACATTCTTTCAGAGTCTGGGTTTTAGCGATTTTCTACAGTCCTTGTTTAAAATTGCTGCTAACCCCAACCAATGTACGTCACCTTTCATCCCAAGGGATCCCAACTTGTACAGCACAAACCATTTCACTACTGAATTACTCTGACTTCTATCTAGGTAGAGAATAGAGAATCATAGCCAGGTAAAGAATCACCCCAGATTCTGCTATACAGCAAAGGGAAAAGAGGAAGTTTGGCACAAACTTCTGACATAGAATTAAAAGTGAAATTCAATGCAGGTGAAAACGTGCAAGTCAGAACAGAAGGTAATCAAAAAGCCACTAAAAACCTGTCCTTTTGACAAACTTCTACTTCATGAAAGTTCCATGAGACCATAAAGGATGGATTCTGGTTCCAGCTGTGGACAATTCTCACTGGAGTATTAGCAGAAAGCCTCAGCACACAGGAATCTCCAGGAGGAGGGCCAACACATCTTGCTCTACATTGGCCCTTTTTCAAGCTCCCTGACATGGATGTGGCATGGCAGAAGCAGGCCCACTGAGGGGAGGGGGAAGCAGACAAAAGGGACAATTGCACTGGGGCCCAGTGATTTACAAAAGGTCCAGGGCTCTTGGCTGCTGATTCTACGTCAGAGGATGGAATCTGAGGGCCCTTAAATCATTACCGAATCCTGAGCAGCACTAATGGCTGACAGGGGGAGGCAAGTCCCCAACCCCACCCATTCTTCCCTAGGCCCCGCTCTTTCACAGAGCCAGCTCCCTCCCCCACCTTGCTCAGGGGCCCAGCAATTCTTGAACTCCAGCAGTGTGCATGCATTGGAATGGCCTGGGGAGCTGGTACAACCACACACAGGTTCTATCAGCCTTGAGGCACAGCAGGGGTTGAAATCTTGTCAGTTAACAACTGAATCCAAAGCAGCCCACAATATTAATAAATCATAAGTGCTCAACTCAGCACAGACATTCCATCACTTTCTCCTGGAACATACAGAGCTATACCAGTTTTCGGCCAAGGAAAAATAATAATATTAGGAATAAAAAACATTAAATTAGCTAACCACAAATTGATTGAATTTGTTCTTCCCAAAATTAGAACAAGGCACAAAATGGTGGTGTTTTATTTTGGGGAGAGGGAGCACAGCATTCACAAAGACAGTATACAGCGAGAGAAAAGGAGACAGAGAATGAGAATTAAAAAGAGTAAAGAACAGAAAAAAACCCATAAAAGTTACTGTCCATAAACCAGTTAATTTAATTTATTAACACTCCCTTATTTCCTTTGTATATTCTAAAGAAATGAGATGTCTAGTACTTTTCAGCACTTGAAATTATATTAATATTGCTCTTTACTCTGGATTCAATTAAATAACTGGGAAGAGATGGAAAAAACTCATTATTTATTCATTCATTCACACAAAATCCTGTGGCAGATGAAGGCCTTATCAGTCTATAAACCCTCAGCTTAATTTGAAAACTGTCCATTGAAAATATTTTTTCAAATGTTGGCAGATACATATTGACCCGACAGCAGAGAGGCCTCTTGACATTCTAAAAATGTAATAACAGTCTAGCTCTGACAACATTAATCAAAACACAGAAAATTTTCCTCAAATCCACAATTTTTCTATGATCTTTATAGAGTTCTATGCTGATACAAAATTGGTATTAACTTCCATATTAGGGATTTAATAGGATACAATAAGCAAGAACGTATAGGTTAATGCTATCACCTATATGCATTCCTCCAGTCCCCCAGCCAGTAATATTTTTAGCGTGCTGGCCAACAGCCAGGCTCAGTCCTGGCTTGCACTGGGTCCAGGACCTACCTCTACTGCGGCTCTGCATTAAAATATATTAGGAGCCAGGCAGACAGGCAGCTTGGCTCAGTTCCAACTTGCGCCAGGTCCGGGAGCTCAGGCTGCCACCTCACACTGCTGCCTCTGTATCAGAGGCAGCAGCGCAGGACAGCAGGCAGCCAGTCTGTTAGGGGAGCTGGTTTTTAAACTGGTTCCCCTCGCAGACCAGCTCCTGCTTGACACCCCACGCAGCTGCCTTGGATACAAATGCAGCAGAACAGAGTGGCAGGGGACTGCTCGGGAGTGGGACCAGAGTGCACTGGCTGCTGGCCTCACCCTTGAGGACTTCAGAATAGTCAAGAGATAAGAATTCGTAAGGTTAATTGGCTATTCAACTAACCGATATTTAACACCCCTAATCCATATCTGCAAAATTGAGCTGTGGATATCCGCATCCACATCCACAGATGCAGATACACGTGGATACAAAGCAGATATCCACAGATTTGCAAGGCTCTAGATATTTGGAAACCATTGCAATTTTTTCAATAAAACCTAAAAATCCCATTTTCAAAAGTGATAAAAGTAGAATCCTAGATCATATTAAATCAATGCATAAGCCACTATTAAAAATGAGACTTACAAGAACAGAGCTATCTATGATTGCTATGAAATTTAGTAATATATGAAAAATATTATCTATTCCAAAAAGTAGTATTTTTCTAAGCCAAAGATGAATGGATTGAGGTTCCTCGTCCCATCCCGAAGAGAAACCACCAGCCCTGAATTTCCCTCCAGGATCTCCTGTTCCCTTTTCCAAAAGGATCACACACACTCAATTTATATCCTGGATAGAATAAATGAGGGGCACTTAACACAATGAATGAAATATCAGCAACTTTATGCAGGGTTCTAACAACTGCCAAGTAGGTGCGACAATAGCAGAGCCCTGGATCCTGAAATACAAAGTATTTCTCAAAATGCAGCAAAGGCATTACAGGTTGAACCACTCTAATCCAGCACCCTCGGGACCTGATCCATGCCGAATCACAGAAATTGCTGAACCTCTGGAGGTCAAGATGGTAACCCTGCAAGACAAACAGTTCCATTGCTTACTGGGCTCGTAGAAGACATTTACGGGTAAATTAGAGCTAAATAACAGCACAGAACACTGAGAGTCAGGACTAGTGGTTGTAAACAAACTTAATGAGAACGTGGGAAACTAGGCTATGATAAGTGGACATCTGACTAATTAAAGTACCAGATTAGAAAGGTTCAAACTACATTTCATACTGGTAGGTATAGACTGTACCACACAAGGGCCTACACAATACTCTGGGTGCCTTTGAAAAATATACATCAACAGACTGCATTTATCCACATATAATGGTACCAAGACCCCAACATGAATATCCCCCAAATATATTAAATCCCTCCAACAAAGGCTCACACAAGTCAGATTTTTTCTACCAATTTTACAAGAAACCCTGGAAAATAACTTTGATTTTGTTTTTAAGCACACACACACATACAAAAATGGAAGCACAATTTTTGTTTTAGATTCTTACAATTTTCACGGCTATGCTCTTTAAAATAAAACCAACTAACTTAATTAATCTCACAAGGTTCATAGATTTGGTTTATTCATAAATTCCAAAGCCATAATAGACCCCTGGGATCATCCATTTGTACCTCCTGTTATTACAAAAGCAAAATAATTTCTACATAATTTATTTTTAAAATACAGCACCTTTTTTAAATAAATCTTGATTTAAAAATTGTCAGTGATGGAGAATCCATCACTACCTTTCCTAAATTGTTCCAACGACATTAAATTGTTTAGCTAGATAAGCACTGAGAAATGAAGCTGCTTACTCATACAACCTTTTGGAATGTTTTATTTCTACCCCCCTCCATGATTTATGTAACACAATGGTAGAGGGATTTCTCCAGAAATATACCATTTCTTCAAAGATTATTCTTCACAGTATTTTTCAGATTAATTTTAAGGATCCATAAGTTCTAGAACCACATCTGCTAGACACTGGTAACTACATATCAGGAAAGCAGTACAACTTGGCTGTTAAGGGCCCTGGGCATCAATACAGAGACTGGTAAGGCATCATCAAGGAAGGTAGAGGAGCCTTGGGAACAGTGTTTCCTGTACGCTATGTGCTTGTGCAGCCACTCAGCAGACATTCAAATGCTGCTCAGGCAATTAGCAGCGTGTCCACAGCTATAGTTTTTTGTTTGTTTGTACTGATGGTGCAAAGTTGCCAATGTCTCAGTGAATATAAAATGTATTCTGCATATGGATAACAAAATCCACGTTTGGATGAAAAAAATTAGAAGTATCATTGCTGGGAGTAGTGATGTTTCACCTTTAAATAAATAGATTCAGGCTTGGTGTAGTTCAGGGAGAGATTGTGGCTGATGTGGTCCCCACATTCTTAGTAAACTCCAAACTAAAAGTATTTTGGATTTTTAGTTTCAGTGTTAAGTTCCAACTTCAGAGATAACTTTCATGGGCAAATGACAGAACTCCAGAACACAAGAATACATACATTCTTTGCTATAACACTGAATTTTACTGCTATTAAAAAAGTGCCCTTGCTCAAAATCTAAAACCACAACACACACACAAAAAAAGCTTTACAAAATGCTTATATCCTCTATATTTATATCCTCTATATTTAAGCTTACCTGCAAGATTATGTCTGAAATATATAGTTTCTTATGGTAAAGTGCTGTCCTCACTCAAGGAGAAAATTTTATTGTGGATGTATTTATCAGATCAGTTTAAATTATAATTGGCATTTTTCCATTTTCTTAAAAGTCTTAAATGTTGCCTCTTCTTTGACTGTATTATTGACTTACTACCCTCAAAAGTCCTGTTTGTTCTTCCACATTTTTACTTAAGAGACTTTTTCCTACCATCTGACATAGTATAAACTGTCCCTGTTAGGATTCTTCTGGTTTTTAGGGAGTTACTCTAACCTTCTGAGTTTAAAGGAAAACATTTTTAAAGTCTTGGCAAAAAAAAACTGGTAATGCTCACACTGTTCGAACTTAAAAAGTACCGTTATTTCTGAATTTATTTATCTCTGATAACTGCTAAAATATTCTTTAAAAATATTTTTTTGCTTTCAAAAGTCAAGATGTCAGATATGAAAACAAATTTCCCTGTAACTCTACCAACCGTATATAATTGATCAGAAGCCGAATTTTTTTGGTAAAAAAAAAAAAATCACACCGTGAAAGGGAGGTATTGGCTTATGATTGGGGTATTGTGCTTCATGTTTTTTCCACTGAGGAGAGGGGTCGGCAAACTTCAATTCCCAGGCAAGCAAGGCAAACCGCTGGTGCACCAAGACCTTTTATGTATCTGAAGCATCTTCAGGCATGGAGCCTGTCAGCTCCCAGCAGCTGCTATTTGCTATTATGGGTCAATGGGAGCAGTGGGAAGTAGCTGCCAGCACGTCCTTTGGCCTGCGCTGCTTCCTCAGTTCTCGTTGGCTGGCAACAGTGAACAGCAGTGAATGGCTCCATGCCTACAGCTAGCACGTTGTTCTCGTTGGCTGGCAACAGTGAACAGCAGTGAATGGGAGCTGAAAAGCTCCATGCCTACAGCTAGCACGTCCCTCAGCCCACCCTTCCCCACCTCTAATATCATTAACTCACAGGCATTCACCTTCCTCCTCCCCCCCCCCCCCCCCTTCTGTTCTGAAATGTGATTTGTCCTTTTCATATGTGTTCTTTTTTTTTTTAATTGTGTCCTTTGGTATATATGGTTGTGACTATTTTCTTCCACTATTTGATCTGAGGAAGCTCATCATCTAATAAACCATCTTGTTAGTCTTTAAAGTGCTACATAGTCCTGTATTTTGCCTCAGCCCACGCTACTTCCTGCAGCTCCCACTGGCTAAGAACAGCAGCCAATGGGAGCTGCGGGAAGCAGCGCAGGCTGAGGGACATTCTGACTACAGGTACAGAGCCTCTCAGCTCCCATTCGCTGAAACAGCAAACATAAGCCAATGGGGGAGCTTCATGCCTGCAGTCAGAACATTCCTCAGTCCACACTGATGCTGACAAGGTGAGCCTGGAAGTTTGTACACTGCCAATATAGTCGGCTTACAAATGGGTCATTGACTTCTCAACTTTTTTTTCCTGTATGTTTGGGGGATCAGCTTATGAATGAACGGGCTTATGTTTGATTATATATGGTAATTCTTAATTGTGTCCCATATGCTTTGGTTGTATTCCTCCCAGCAGTCCAGAACACAAGCTGCTTTTCACATCTTCATCTTTTATCTCTAATGTTTTGGTCTCTTCCTTTGAAATCACTATAATACAATTCTATTTTCAAATAGGGAAATAATTTTCTTTTTCCCTGGTCTGACTTTTTTCCTTTGCTCAATCAGTAAATATTTGCATTGTACACTTCAGCTTTACTGATCTAATTTATAGCAGCAGTCTCCATCTTTCCATGCCAATTTGAGTGTACAGAGCACACAGTGTGACACAACCAGTTTGGAATTTCCTAAAGAAAGAAAATTACAACCCTAAAAGAAAACCGAGCTCAAATGATAGCCAGATACTCACAAGCTTCAAATCTGGGCATTAAGCCCCAAGCAACACCTACCATAGTTCTGTTATAATGTAAGGAATAGATAAGGTCTACCGTATTTTCTGGCGTATAACGCGACTTTTTACACTAAAAAACATCCCCCAAAAATCGGGGGTCGTGTTATACGCCGGGCATAGAACGTACCTGGTCCCCGACACGGTGCTTGGGGCTGGCCCCGGGCACATGGCGCATGGTGAGCGTTGTCTGTGCTTCTGGATCCTGCTGGCCTTGGTCTGGAAAGGTTCTCTATAACAATATGGCTTTTCTGTAACCCTGTTGGAAGCCCTGTAACTATTCAGTAGATCTAAAGCAGTGGTCTCCAACCTTCTGTAAGTGGGTGGGTAGAAAAGACCCCATCATGGCTCCAACAAGAAGAAGGAAATTTGAAGCCAGTTTTAAGCTGAAAGTTGTAAAGTTTGCCAAGGAACATAATAACTGTGCTGCTGCAAGGCAATATGGAGTAACAGAAAAGATGGTCCGAGACTGGAAAGCAAATGAAGATGCATTAAAGAGTATGCCAAGTAGTAAGTGTGCATTAAGAAGAAGCACCCCACATTGGTCAGAACTTGAAAAGCACGTAGCAGACATGGTGCATGAGCATCGTCAAAATGGTTATGTAGTGACACGAAACAAAATACGTATGTTTGCACTTCAGTGGGGCAAATCTAACCCAGATCACAGCAAAGGATTTAAGGCCACTGTATCCTGGTGTACTAGGTTCATGGAAAGGCATAATCTGGTACTGAGGCAAAAGACCAAAATTGCACAAAAATTACCTGCAGATCTCAACGGAAAAGTAAGTCTTTTCCATCGATATGTAATACAACAGCGCAAGAAACATGGCTATGCGTTAAGTCAGATCGGAAATATGGATGAAACTCCTATGAATTTTGATATGGTTGGAAATAAAACTGTTAATCCAAAAGGTGCAAAAACAGTGTTAATTAAAACAACAGGACATGAGAAGTCCAGTTTTACAGTGGTACTAGCATGTACAGCTGATGGCGCCAAACTAAGACCAATGATTATTTTTAAAAGAAAAACAATGCCGAAAATCAAGTTCCCTGTTGGAGTTTTTGTGCATGTGAATGAAAAAGGCTGGATGGATGAAGGGGTAAAGCTATGACTTGATAATGTATGGAATAGGCGACCAGGTGGACTTCGTCAAGAACGTAGCCTACTGGTGTGGGATATGTTCAGGGCTCATTTAACTACCAGCACAAAGAAAAGGCTGGCAAGAATAAACACAGATGCGGCAGTTATTCCTGCAGGATTGACATCATTGGTACAGCCACTGGATGTGTGCCTAAACAAGTCATTTAAAGATCGCATTCGAGAACAGTGGAATGAGTGGATGGTTGGCGGCGAAAAGTCATTCACAAAAGGAGGAACCATGCGTGCGCCACAATTGGATGTTTTGTGTAACTTTGTTATAAAAGCCTGGAATGATATTGGTGCAGA